TGCCACTATCGATGCCACTATCGATGCGTTCATAACATAATCTTCGATAGTTTCATCTTAGAATTGAATTGAAATCTAGTTGTATCATGTTACACTATATAGCTGGCTCTGATTGCCTCATCTACTCTTCATATCGTGTTTTCACTCCTCACCCCCTCAACATCCCCCCCCCCCCTCAACATCCCCTCGCCCCGCCTCTCCCTCTTCTCTGTCTCCGTCTGTCTGTCTCTCTGTTTCTGTCTCTCTTTCTCTCACTATCTCTCTCTATCTCTCTCTCTCTTTCTCTCTGTCTCTCCTCTTTCTATTCTTATTCTCTCTCTCTCTCTCTCTCTCTCCCCCCCTTTCGATTATTAACTTCACTTTCCACCTGGTAGCATTTGCGTTTCCATTTTCTTCGTATTCTGTTCTCATTAAATAATCTGTTTCCATTGCATGCGATACTTCAACTCTTTAAACACACTTTCCGACTACACAGCATGACCACATTCGAGATGAGCGGAACACAAATCATTCTTGACATTTTTTTCTCTCTGGTTAGGATTTTTATTTCAAATAAGTTATATCAGTGTAAGTATCTAGAATTCAATGCATTTGTTATTAATGCCAAGTAAAAAAAAAAAAAAAAAAAAAAAAAGGGATGATAAAAATCGGGAAAGAATAATATTAGTGTCTAAATAAATTGCCAGCTCATGAGACTGGGTAAAGAAATAAATAAATGCACACACAAGTAGTGCTGGTACAATTTTATAACATCGAAGCATTATATATAATGCAAGAATAATGATATTGCAAATTTAACTGTAGTAATGAATTATTATTTCATGAGATATTTTTTTCAAATAATTAACACGATGTATTAAACAAAGCAATAAACATTCAAATATGTCTCTCGAGAATTTGGTTTAATAATAAATAGATTATGATTAGTATCTATGGAAAATAAATAAGAAATGAACAATAAATAAATTAGATTAAATATATTATGTAAACTTCATTATAAAATTACGAAATGTGTCATTAAACACTTAGTATTAATGTTCCTTTTATAGAGCAAAAACATTGGAATAAAGTGATTTTGTTCACCCTGTAATCAATTCGAACTCACTTCAATGTCATATAGAGGGCTTTAGCAAAATAGTTTATATATAAAATACATATATTTTGTTTGCATTCAAATCAATGGAATGAATCAAAGTATTGGTGAAATTATCACATCTAACAGATGATAGAATAATGATCTCTAGTCTCTTCTCAAGACGATATTCCAAGTAATGACCTTTGACCTGTGTCATGTGATGACGATGAACTTCTTAGTCTGTTTCACTAGACTCAACGGATGTTGATTCAGCAGAGACAGAGGAGGAACGTCTATAACGAGCTGCAAGAGAGGCAAAACCAGAAAACCATATTATAAAGAATATTTTGACATGATAGCATTAATTTGTTGACGCAGTTTTCTTTATTGATTGGTATTTCATATTCTTCATTTAGACATGAAAGTCAAACATCTCAAAAGAATATACATCAGCAGAAATGTTAAATCGGAAGTTAAAATATTACGCACTTTATTAGTTTGTAACGGCACTCGGTGATATCAGTTTGCTAACTGAAGGCAACGCTGCTAAAATTATCAATGAATAAAATAACAATGCATTTCATAGGAAAACGAGACGTATACAAAATACTGAAACACCATCTAGCTGCCCAAATATGAAGTGACAGCTGCACTATTTTTTGGTAATTTGAAAAATCTCGGGGTGGAGCCCCCTTTAGCCCCCCCTCTCTCTCTCTCTCTCTCTCTCTCTCTCTCTCTCTCTCTCTCTCTCTCTCTCTCTCAGTATGATGCTACTCTAATTACATCCCCCGCTATGCGCTCTGACATGTTGCGTTTGACATAAAATTATAAAATTATGACCAAAACTTACTCGAAACTGACTTTAACAAGACTCACCTGTAGCAGGGCAGGTCACAGCTCGGATACAGACTTCTTCCAAGATCTCACAAGCATCCGTAAATTTTGTTTCACCTTCCTCTTCCAAACACACCTTATTTTGTTCGACTAAATTCACCAAAGCCAGCTCATCGGCAGTCACCACCTCTAGAAGTCTTTCTTCACAGTCGTTCATCACTGTTCTGTATCTATCACAGAGAGCTTGAAACTCCGAAGTGCGATCGATGGTTTGGGCTGAAATTAGGAGAAATTAATGACACTTTAAGAAATCTGGTTCTAAATTTTTTTTCAAATATACTTTCTTTGAATCTTTTTTTCACACGGTCTACTAAAACGCATCGCAAACTGGCAGAATATTTACGATGGCAAAATACATATATGTTACTTTGAGACAGGAAGGTCTTTTAGAGCTAACACGTATTGCTTCATATTTTGCTCAGTGACTACTTCTGTTGAAACTTCTTGCCCAAACGTTTCTAGTAAATTTTGTGTTTTTGTCAGGGTCGAGTGAAGCGAGTGACACTTTTTTACGTGAACATTTAATCTCGT